TGAATTATATAGAGTTTTAAGTGCAGGTGGTGGGCCCAAGGGGTCCGATCCAGTCACGCTTTGCTTGCACGGTGGCGGTGCCATGGGATATTTATACATGTCGGCTGAAGACTGTTGATTTTTTTTCCAGTAAACTACATCGTAAGTCGTTGTGTTATGAATAAACTTACAATTAGATCACAATATTTCAAAAAGTCATAATATCACTATTTATCTAATTGTAATAATTAAGTTTTTTTTATAGATTATAATAATCAAATTATTTTTATTTATCAATTATTATAACTAAGTTATTTAAATATTATTAAAAATTAATATTGGGTAAATTACATGTTTAGTATTCAATTATCACTTTTGTTCTGTTTTGGTCATTCAACTATTAATTTTTTCAAAATCATATATAACGTTACGTTTTAATTTTATTTTGATCACCCGCTGTTAAAAAAATAACAGGATTGTTGACTTGATATTTTTTTAAAAGATTTCAACGATATTGTGTCATTACCTTATATTGACATGTTAACATCACTGTCAATTGTTTACGGTGGTAGGTGACCAAATTGAAACCAAATGTAACGTTATGTATGATTTTGAAATAAAAATATAACTAGAAAACTAACCTCTATATAAGCCGTAATCAAAATTCAATAACATCTCTATTGTCTCCAACTCCATCTGTGTTTATTTTACCTAAAAATTATGAAATGGCCGACCAGTAGTCAAATTTGGTGTTCACACAAAGTCAAAGTTCCATACTACCCTTACCACAAAAGCTTTCATATTGGAATAAGTCCCTATTCAATGGATATTCTCTTTTCCATGTTCATTTTATATTGTTCATATTTTGTAACAGTCTTTTTTTGTAAATATTTAAAAAATATTTACAAAATAATTTCTGTAAAATAATTATATTTTCTAAAAAATAATATCCGAAAATCATTTTTAGTATTTAGATGATGCCATGTAAACTATTTATGTTATTTTAGTAAAATTTTAAAAAATATTCGTTACAAATAACAAATGTAATAAATAATATTATTATTTTTAAAATAGTTGTTGAGAGTGGAATAGGGATGGTAACTCAACCCGAACTTGACGGGTTCCGACCCGACCCGACCTGATCGGGTCGGACTTAAAAAATTCGGGCTCGAGTAAGGTTTTTTTATGCACTGCTCGGGTCGGGGTCGGGGTCGGGTTTAGGGTGGAAAAAATTCGACCTGACCTTAAATATATATAATTACCCTATATATTTAGGATAATTACAATAATACCTCTCTTTATATTTTTTTTCCAATTAAGTCATTATTTTTATTGAATAAAAATATTTTTTTATTATTTCGGGTCGGTTTTTAAGTCATATATTCGGGTCGGGTCGGGTCGGGTGAAATCTTTCGTCGGGTCACGAGTGGAGGACACTTTCTTCTCGGGTCGGGTGGCCCAAAATTATAAAAAAAGTATAGTTTAGGCCTTGAAAGTTTTCAAAATATATAATTTGACCCTCACAACAACAACAACAACAACAAAACCCAATTCCCATATGTATGGGGTAAGGGGGAGGTAGGGTAGTAGGCTGCCCCCAACGCCAGGTTGAGAATAGCTTCCGTGGAAGACCTCCGGCAGTCAGAAAATTAAAAATATAGATAAAATGCAATGCATGTATAAATAATTACATAAATACATAGCTAACAATATTCATATGCATTAATATCATATGTGCTTCTGTAATGGGGAGTAATACCTGCAAAATAATCCATGCGAAAGAATCTCTGCATATAGACAGAAACATAAGACCTGGCTAAATTTAACAGAGGAAACATGACGAGAATGATACACAAAAGTCAACGATAGCAAGCCCAGTTCTAATCTTTCATAAATACCAATAACAGAAAAGTATAAGAAGTAAAGTCATGGAAATTACTACAAATGCATTAAAAGAAGACAGAGATGATACACCCTATAGATGTGACCCACATTACTCGACTACCCTAGTCACAAGCCTCCATAATTTCCTATCATAGGTCATGTCTTCGGTAAGGCCTAAATCCATCAAATCAGATCTCAAGTAGTATTCCCACTTCCGCCTTGGTCGTCATTTCCTTCTGGCACCGTCGACTGTAATCGACTCTACCCTCCTGACCGCATCCGACGGTAGTCGCCTAAGGACATGCCCAAACCACCGTAGCCTTCCCTCCCTCAATTTTTCGGAAACAGACACCACCCCCAAGGACATCCTAATAGCAGAGTTTGTCGTCATATCCCACAGAGTCCTACCACATGTCCATCGAAGCATTCTCATTTCTACGGCCTCTTCCTCCTTACGTGATCCTTCTTGGTTGCCCAACATTCTGATCCATACAACAACGCTGGTCTTATTGCCATTCTATAAAATTTTCCCTTAAGTTTAGAGGCACCTTTTTGTCACACAAAACTCCAGTAGCGGCCCTCCACTTTAGCCATCCCGCCTTTATACGGTGTAACGTCATCATCTACACCCTCATCTTTATGTATCATAGACCCTAAGTACTTGAAACAATCCTTTGAGGGAAGAACGTGTCCTTCTATGCATACTTCTACATCTTCATCGTTTTGGTTCCCATTGAAGTTTGAACATAAATACTCTGTCTTTTCAATATTGATCCTTAAACCTTTTTCTTCCAAAGCAGTCTTCCAGGTAGCCAGTCTACTATTCAACTCAGATTTTGTTTCAGCAACTAGGACAATGTCGTCAGCGAAAAGCATACACCAAGGTACACCATCTGGTGTCGCACAATAGATGTCGTCCATAATCAAGGCGAAGATGTAAGGGCTAAGAGCCGACCCCTGGTGGAGTCCGATTTCCACCGGGAAAGCCTCGTGTCGCCAACTGTAGTCCTGACGTAAGTAGTAGATCTACAATACATATCACGAATCGCCGGATATAAGCAGTTGGGATCCGTCTCGTTTCCAAAGTCTTCCAGATCGTATCGCGGGGAACGCTATCATAAGCCTTCTCAAGGTCAATGAACGCCATGTGAAGATCTCTCGACTTTTCCCTATATTTCTCCATAAGCCGTCGAAGTAGATGAATCGCCTCAGTGGTAGACCTGCTTGGCATAAAGCCAATTTGATTTTCCGAAACCCTAGTAACTTGTCTCAACCTAGCCTCTATCACCCTTTCCCATAGCTTCATGGTATGGCTGAGTAGTTTAATACCTCTGTAGTTACCACAACGTTGGGGATCTCCTTTATTTTTATAGATTGGTATCACCGTAGACTCTCTCCACTCCTCTGGCATCTTGGCAGTCTCTAAAATAATATTAAAGATGTTAGTCAACCACTTAACTCCCTCTTCTCCTAGGGCTAACCACACAGTGATAGGAATTTGATCAGGACCGACAGCTTTCTCCCTTCCCATCTTTCTAAGAGCTATTTTGACTTCCTCAAACCCAATCCGACTTGTAGGGCAGTCATTGGCCGTAGTATGATGGTCGCCTGACCCATCAACGATACTATCTCTACATGAAGAGGCACCGTCATTAAATAAGCCAAAGAAGTAACTACCCCAAACCCTCTTAATATCATGATCTTTCATTAAAATAACACCATTGTTGTCCTTAATAAACCTAATGTTACCTAGATCCTTTTTCCTAATCTCCCTAGATTTTGCAAGTCTGAAGATGTCATTTTGTCCTTCCTTGGTGTCTAATCTCTTGTACATTACCTCATATGCCTTATCCTTTGCTTTAGCTACCGTTTTCTTGGCTTCTCGCTTTGCCTCCTGGTATCTTTGTTTAGCTCTCGACCTTTATTCGTCATCATTTTTAAAAATTTCATATTAATCTTTATTTTTTTTTGAATATCCTTAATTAAACCCCTCCCATAAATTTTAAAAATTATCATTAAGCTTATCAAAATTTAAAAAACTTATCAAAATTTAAAAAAACTTTAATTAGACCCTAATTTATTTTAAAAGAGTATAAACTGAACCCTTTAATTTTTTTAAAGATTTAATTTAAACTTTTAAAATTTTAAAATTTTAAATTGACCACCACAAACATCCATTGCTAAGTTCTGACACTTGTCCCTAATCCTAAATATACAGTCTACTAGACTAATAGCTTAGATATGGTGGGGCCCAATGAACTCCAAACAGATGTCGGAATTGCAGTAACCAAGCGGAATAGTTTCCACCAAACTAAAAAAATATATTAAATTTTACCAGAAAAAGAAAAAGCGTGTGATAAATATATATATTATATTGGTTTTACTAAATGCTGTGTCATTACAATTACAATATATAAAGGATGAAAATATTTAAAATTTTTGCTACAAATAAACATTCAATTAAAAACCATTTCCTTTAATTTTAATATTATTTAAACGAAGAAGAAGAAGAATTATTTTATATAAAAAGTATTTTTCAGGTATATAAAAATTTCTTTTAATAAATATTCGAGGTTGACTCACGTTGGGTTAAAAACTCTCATTTAATTTTAGGATAAACTGTGCATTTAGTATCTAAATTTTTAATTTTTTTAAAATCATGCTTAATGTTTAGTTTTTATTTTATTTTTAGTATATTCAACAATTGTTGAAATAATTGAAAGTTTAGATACCAAAACACATTTAGTATCTAAACTATACTTAAGTTTTGAGAAAAAGAAAAGAAAAGTTTAGGTATTAAAACATACCAAACTGATAGGTTAGGTACTAAACTCGTGAGTTTTTTAATGATGGGTATTAAATGAAACAAAAACTAAATGTTAGGTATGGTTTTGAAAAGATTGAAAGTTTAGATACTAAAACAGACCAAAATTGATAGTTTAGGTACTAAACACGTAATTTACCCTTAATTTTATTCTCTTTTATGATTTCCCCCTATTTCAACTTTACCGTCAACGTCAAAACTCTATTACAAGTAGGAGGACTCAAATGTAATAAACACAAAATTTCTTAGCTATTTTGATAAATTGAATTCCCCCTATTTCAATCCTCTCCTAAAATTCTCGCTGCCTCTAACTAACGATTGCAGTCTCTCGCTTTCTCATCAGTAGATTTCAAAAATCGAAATTTCAGCCTTTCAAAGAAGTTAATTTTCAGCCAACATGTTGGTTTATCAAGATCTTCTCACTGGTAAAGTTGTTGGTTCTTTCTGTTTTTGTATGAATTTCTTTTCTTTTTTGCTCATGTTCTTGTTGTTTCCAAGTTCTGTACTGTTTTTTTTTTTGCAAATTATTTTCTGGGTTACTTTCCTCCTCAATTCAGAAGAAAGTATATTGAATTTGGAGTATGATTTGATACGATTTCTTAATTTTCCTTTTTTAAGCTAGAAGCTTAATGTTTTGTTAGAAAGCTATTTTCATAGGTTTTTTTAACTTAATTCTTGTTGATGATTTCCAGGTGATGAGCTTTCTCTCTGATTCTTTCCCATACAAAGAAATCGAGAACGGACTGCTGTGGGAAGTCGAAGGGAAGGTTGGAATCTTTATTGTTTTTCTGTAATTTTGGGCTGAAACTCACAGTTCTATGTGCTGTTTTTCTCTAACACCTTTTAATGTCTTTACTTGTGTGGTTCTTTTAGTGGGTTGTTCAAGGGGCTGTCAATGTGGATATTGGGGCTAACCCTTCAGCAGAAGGCGGGGACGAAGACGAAGGTGTCGATGACCAAACCGTCAAAGTTGTTGACATCGTCGACACTTTCAGACTTCAGGTAAATAGGTCGAGGCTTAAGGTTTAGTGTATGTTTTCCAATACTGTCATCTGAAGAATTCGTGTTAATTCGATTAACAGGAGCAACCCGCATTCGACAAGAAGCAATTAGTAACCTTCGTGAAGAGGTACATCAAGAACTTGACTCCCAAATTAGAGCCCGAAAAGCAAGAGACATTCAAGAAGAACATAGAAGGGGCTACCAAGTATTTGCTTTCCAAGATCAAAGATTTCCAATTGTAAGTCACTCTATCTGTTCCAAAATCGTTTTTCAAATCGAACTACCGCCGTTTCTTATCATCCGAGTTTAACATTTTGTTGATGTTGTTACAGCTTTATAGGTGAGAGCATGCACGATGATGGTAGCCTGGTGTTTGCATACTACAAAGAAGGCGCCACCGATCCCACCTTCCTTTACTTTGCCTATGGCTTGAAGGAAGTCAAGTGTTAACCTAGTCTCAACACCCGTCGAACCAGCTTTGCTATATAGAATTTAGTTTAATTCTAGATACAAGTAGTTCTAAACTATATATTTTTTTTCTTAGCTCATTTAGGTCATTTGATATATGAAATATGCTTAAAACTTTGATCGAGGCATACAAATATAGTGTGTTTTCCAGCAAGTTTTGGATGTGATTTCTCATGGCAAGTGGTGTGTGTGTCTGCAATCTGTATACATGCTTGTTATTGTAATATTTGTAATATTACTATCTCTAGGTTGCGCAAGAAAGGGTCAAAGCTTCCAATATATTCCGAATCGTGCAAAATACCGGCAACGATAGCCCAGAAGAGGATCTCTGCAAATATACATATAGTAGGATGCCTACTCTTCTTGAATGCCAAACCCCTATGAATATGTGCTTTTCAATCCAATAAACCTGCCATTACCATTGCCGTTTTAGAAAGCCAAAATACAGGATGGAAACTGGAAGAAGATCGAAAAAGGGATAGGAGAAACATGCAAATATCGACGACAAAAACCCACCAATGTATTATGCGGATGCTTGTAATACCATCCGTTTACGAAGCCAGCAAATATGCCTTCAGCAGCCATGACATAAACCAACATTGAATTCATGCCGATCCATTTTAATGGCAGAAACATGTACTTGAAACCCCATATATCGACCTGGCCACCCGAAATTTTGATCAGCATTAGCCGTAAGCAAAAACGTAGACTCTTAAAGAGTCGTACCAGAATATAAATGGTTGAGAAGACAAGTGCTGCTGCTCCAGATGTAACACAAACATAGCTGAAAGTATATAGTTGCTTGTTCAAAGGAATTGCCGTAAAATGCAGAACAAATCCTAGAACGAGGAAAGTGAATCCCATCACGATCCATTGCTTCAGCCTTTCTGAATGACCCTGGAGTCAAGAATTCATCAAAGACTCTCAAATTAGAAACCAAGAACCATGCATCGATCCGTTTTCGAAATTTATACCTTCAAATGTACGAGCACGTGTCCGAAATGCACTCCTATGATTGTAGAAAGAATTGCAGATATCGAACTGCAATTAGTGCATGCAATGTCAACGATTCTGAAGATAAACAACTAGTACCAAAAACTTGTACCGCATCAACAGACCTTAGAATTCCTTCAGGTTCGAAAGGTGCGTGGCACCATGACGGAGCATCGTTTTTGAGCAGTCCCTCGTAAGGGGAATTCTCTGTGCAAGCCTGCAGCAGTGTAGGAAGATTTCAGACATGCAACTGTCATTCACTCTAAGTAAATTAGTGGACTCAATCTTAAACTACACCTTATGTCGTCTCCATGCAGGTTTATGGTACATGTGATTGATCCCCAAGACTTCTCTGTCGATATATCCGGCAGCGTTACAAGGAGGATCAAGTTTCCTCTCACATTGCAGGCTACCTAAAATCAAACACAAATCTTAAGGAACTAAAGCAAATGTTATGGTTCAGTAAGAGGCCAATATCGTTATTAATCGTAACCAAGGCTACAGTGAAAACTCTCCCATAATCCACTATCCTTATCACGGACAATGAACTGCCAGTCCGGGACATATTCCGTAAAGTAAAGCCAAATACAAATAAGTACGCATGCACCTAACAGCCTGCAGATCATAAAAACCGAGAAATAGTTGGTGTTCGAATCGATCATAAATACGAAAAAGTCCAATGGGAACTTAATCACTTACCAATGCCAACAATATAACCTAAAAACAGAGAAATGGCCAGCTGAAGTACCATTGGATTGTGCATCTTTCAGAAAAATCTCTGCAAGTGCCACTACCAAATATGCAAAAGCAATTCTCTACAAAGAAGGTGAAATGAATTACTTATTCCTGAAGCCATTATTGAAGAACTCAACTATGCAATTAGTACCTGTAGAATTCCACAGAACCTTATCATCTTCATATCAACACCGTAAGTTAACTCGTCGGGAGCATGCGAAAACCCTCCTTTGTAACGTAAGGATTTACAGAAGTTAGCATCAAAGCTTTTCCATCATCGTTTGAACTTGCATAAATGTATTAAGATAGAAGAATTTCTCAGTTTGAAATAAGGTTTCTGTAATCTTATTTGCTTAAGATAGGAAAATTTGTTAACCCCTAAAAGTTTTAAGAATGTATGATGAATCATACCACCAAAATCTTCTTTCATTTGTTAGTCTATTCCCAGAAAAATGTGATACATAACGCACCATGAATGTGAATACCCTAAGCAAATGGGAAATCAACCTATGTTGCTCGAGCTCTTTATTTTTCTTGAAGTATTGTATTCGAACACTCGCACCAAATCCAAATAAACATACAATGAACACCCAAAGTCTATCTCCCCCCCCCCTTGATATGTGTTTAGCAAAGAAAACCAAACCTTGTAATAACAACCCCAAAAGAGGAGCTTTAGGGTTCTGAAACCACCTTCTTCACAGCTTTACCCCTACTTGGTATTCTCTACAAAAGTATGTAACCATTACTAATTTGAAGCAAATATAAACTGCAATTATTACTCAAATGTCTTAAAGAAACCCAACCTTAAGAGCAAGAGGAATGGCAATGCCAACAATGAAAAGAAAGAAGGGCATAACGAAATCAGCAAGGTTGCAGCCATGCCATGGTGCATGGCCAATAACAGGCCATTCTCCTCCAACGTCATCCACTAGAATCATCAGCTACAAAAGTTCACAGTTTAGTTCAAAGGAAAAGCGTCGGAAAAATAACCCTTTTAATGGATTGGATGAAAGAAAAACCGAAGAATACCGCCACAGTAAGGCCTCTGAAGATGTCCAGTGAGGCAACTCGCTGAGTTTTGTTTGGCTTCTGAGTTGAGATTTCGGTCTTGGGGATGGCCAGGGTATGGTGATGAACAGGGTCTACTTTGATCTCAGCCATTTTTTTTACTTTGGAGATGATAAGATGTTTGTTGCAAGAAAAACTAGTGAAGGAAAGAAGAACAGTGATAGTTGAGATTTCGGTCTTGGGATGGCCAGGGTATGGTGATGAACAGGGTCTACTTGATCTCAGCCTTTTTTTTACTTTGGAGATGATAAGATGTTTGTTGCAAGAAAAACTAGTGAAGGAAAGAAGAACAGTGATTGGGGTGATAATTGTACTTGAAAAATATCATTTTCTCAACTTATTTTCTATTGTTTATGATATTTCTGGAGATTTTATCTGTTGGGTAGTGTATTGATGGCAAAAAACTTCGATTTTTGGAGGTTAATGCGTTCATGGAGGTTACTTGTTCCCATCATGAACGAAGACAAAGTTAACATATGAGATAATCTTATTTTATTGCCTCTTATATCACTTTCTATAAACTATGAAGTCCTGAAACTATATCAATATTATGAATTCATTTCCGAATTTTAAAATCGTTTCAATTAGATCATTTCGTTAGGTTGAATATTAAATATTAGGCTTATTAGCTGTGATTTAACGTAGAACATAATTAAAATATGAGGGCAGCATGACATTCATAAGTAATTCACTGGGTCCAAAAGTTTTACTTCAAGAAAACAATGCCTGAATAAGTGAGAAAACACTGAATCTGTTCTTCTTTAGCAATCTCCCATTCCAACATAGTCCGAACGGCAGTGCTTCGCGACGGAACTTTCCGCTAGATCGTTTCGGGGAAAAAACAACTGAGAGCTTTGAGTTTGTCAAACTGTTTCTGTCAAATCTCTCGGCTACTGAAAATAGCATCTACAATCCCTTCCCTTACCCTGTTTCAATAAAGAGAACCATGAGTTTTCAGATCATATAAAAACTGATGTTTTCCGGCAAAAAACGACTAGTCGAAACATACTGCTCGTCGGAAATCTTGTGTCATTAGTTCATTATTGAGAAGAGATGCAGAGAGAGACAATATGAAAAACAAGTTGAAAAGTTTGTCAGCAAGAGATGACATTAAAACTAGCATGAACAGCATCTTTTTATCCACGTTTGACATTCAATATATTAACACTATTTAGCAAGCTCTTGGAGAGCAAGGGAACCGTTCATACAATATGAATGAGCTACTGACATACATAACAGCATTGCAACATAAGGAACCATCAGTCGAATTCAAAAGGCAGATAGTTTCTACGATACAGATGATTCCCAAAACAACAGGGAATCGATGATGTCCGAAGACATTTGTCCGGTCACCGTGCAACTTTGGTGACAGAGAAAGAATCACAATAAAGGGAGGAAAAAAAGAGGAAACTACCACTGGTCAGACATGAAACCGAACCGAGGGTCATCAGAGGATGCACTTCAACAAAAGGTACCCCGTCCTACATATATCTTTGAAAAGGATGACTTAAATGTCTGATTTGGCTAAAGAAGCATCATCCCAGAGGCAAAGAGAGCAAATGGACACAATAACTTTATAAGGAAAAACACTTTCGAGTTCTTCTTCACCGGACTCGAAGCTAGTTGATTGTATACAACAATCCTCCAAATTCTAAAACCCAACTCTCCATCTCCATGTCCATCTACAAACATTCCAACACTTAGCTCTCAAACCATAAACCATTTACACACACTATTTATCTATATATATCCCCAAAAAATGCCTTAGAAGTACAGACGACTTCCCAAAGAAGGAAAGTTTGTCCAAGTATCATATTTAATCATATGACAATCATAAAGTTTGCCCATTTTTAAGCACCACCAACTACAGTCCTCAAAACAGTGCTATTTAAAAAGAAGAAATCATTGAAGAAATATAACAGCAGTGTAAAGATTAGAAAAAGAAAAAAAACTAACTAGTAATTCAGGGTGCTTTAGCATAGGGAGATATGAGGAGCTGAAACTGAGACCAACTTACAGATCTGCATTTGAAATTGAGGCTTCCTTTTTTTTTTTTTTGCTTTAAATAAACAATTATTTCAAGCTTAAAATAAATCCATTGTCGTTCAGTGGTTAGGATATCTGGCTCTCACTTAGGAGACCCGGGTTCAATTCCCTGCAATGGATTTTTTATCAAATATAAAAATGAATTCACAATATTAATAAATAATAATACAATTAATATATATATATATATATATTTTTTTTTTGCATCTTACATTATATAAGCATAAATATCATAACTGCAAAAGAATTACCCTTGAATTTTGCATATTCTTCTTCAGACAGCCTGTTCGTAACTGATCTATTTCATTCTCTTGGCTAATATTTACAGGCAGTAGAACATGCGTAATTACAGGTCAATGAACATAGGTAACTCACTTACTGTTCCGAGGCTTTCCATCAAGAAAACAATGCCCAAAGACGTAACAGATCTTTCGGCTTGATCGGTTCGTAAGAGTAACAGAATTCTTCGAGTCTGCCAAGCTATTTCTATCAAATGTCTGAACTATTGAAAATAGCATCTGCAATCTCGTTCCTTACCTGCTGTAAAAAGCTGTATGAGTTTGCTCGATGCAGATCAACTTCGAGTAGCATCTTTTATCCCACACTTGACATTACAAAGCAATAACCGAACACTATTTAGTCAACTCTAGGAGAGCAAGAGAACCGTTCAACAATATGAATGAGCTGCAGAAATACAACTTATAGCATGATAAGTCGAACAATTCCCACTTGCTGAATGAGGAACCATTGGTCGATCTCGAAAGGTAGAATCTCTATGATAGATGGTTCCGGTCACCAAGTAACCTTTGGGACGGATATAACGAATCGTAATAAAGGGTGGAAAAAGGAAAACTACTCTGGTCAGACAAGAAACCAATCCCGAGGGTATCATCAGAGGATGCGCCTCAAGCATCCCATCCAACAAATAGCTTTGAGGTGGATGCCTTAAGGAGCACATCAAAAGATAGTTGATTATACGCAAAGATCTGTAACATTGGGGCATTCTCCAAATTCTAAAACCCAACTCCCCAACCTACATCCCCATAGCTCTCACACTATGGACCATTTACAACAAATAATATATATATCCCCAAAAAATGCAAGTTAATGAACAAAGATTGCCTTTGAAGTACGGATGACTTCTCGAAGATGGAAGTTCATCCCAGTATCACCATTAATCAAATGAAAATTATAAAATTTGCCCATTTTTAAGCTCCAATAACTACTACAGTCCTCAAAATAGTAGTATTTAATAAGAAAGAAATCATTGCAGAAATATAAAAACAGTGTAAAGATTAGAATAACCTAACCCGTAATTCAGGTGTTTTTAGCATAGGGTGAAAATTTTCCGTGTGGAACAACGGAAGAGGAAGCTGAAACTGAGACCAACTTACAGATGTGCACTTGAAATTGAGGCTGCTTTCGTTGTTTCTTTAAGTAATGTATCATTTCAATCATAGAGCAACAACTCCATTGTCGTCCAGTGGTTAGGATATCTGGCTTTCACCCAGGAGACCCGGGTTCATTTCCCGGCAATGGAATTTTATTTTCATATATAAACATGAATTCACAATATTAATAAAATATCTTTTCATTTTCTACTCAGCCTATTTTCACTCATATGACGATTCTAAATCTGTGTAAAACTAAAGAGTTTTACAATCCTACCCGAACTCATTGCATCTTAATTCTTATATTATATAAGCATAAATATCATAACTGCAAAAGAATTACCCTTGAACTTTGCAGATTCTTCTTCAGACAGCCTCTTCATAGTGATTATTTTCATTGTCTTGGCTAATATTTTTCAGGCAGTAGAGCATGCATCATTACAGGTAAATGAACATAGGTAATCCACTTCCTGTTCCGAGGCTTTCCATCAAGAAAACAATGCCCAAATAAGTAAAAGATCTTTCCGCAAATGTCTGAACTATTGAAAATAGCATGTACAATCTCGTTCCTTACCCACTGCAACAAAGAGCGATATGAGTTTGCTCGATGCAGATCAGCTTTGAGCAGCATCTTTTATCCCACACTTGACATTACAAAGCAACAACGAACACTATTTAGCCAACTGTTGGAGAGCAAGGGAACCATTCATACAATATGAATGAGCTGAAGAAATATAAGTTATAGCATGATATGCCGAACAATTCCCACTTGCTGAAAGAATGAACCATAGGTCGATCTCGAAAGGTAGATAACTCTATGATATAGATGATTCCCAAATCGATGTTATTATGAAGAACATTTGTCTGGTCCCCAAGTAAACTTTGTGACGGATATAACGAAACGTAATAAAGGGTGGAAAAAGGAAAACTACTCTGGTCAGACAAGAAACCAATCCCTAGGGTATCATCAGAGGATGCGTCTCAACATAAGGCATCCCATCCAACAAATAGCTTTGAGGTGGATGCCTTAAGGAGCACATCAAAATGTCTGATTTGGCTAAAGAAGCATCATCCCAGAGGCAAAGAGATCAAATGGACACACAAATTATTACGAAGAAAAGCAATTTCGAGCTCTTCTTCGCCGGGACTCGAAGATAGTTGATTGTATGCAAAGATCTGTAACATTGGGGCATCCTCCAAATTCTAAAACCCAACTCTCCATCCTATATTAAAATTCATCCCCATAGCTCTCATACTATGAACCATTTACAACAAATAATATATATCACCCAAAAGTGCAAAGATGGAAGTTCATCCAAGTATCACCATTGATCAAATGACGATTACAAAATTTGCCCATTTTTAAGCTCCAAGAACTACTTAAGTCCTTAAAATAGTAGTATTTTAATAAGAAAAGAACCATTGCAGAAATAAATAATTTTTTTTAAAGATTAGAGAAAACTAACTACAAATTCAGGGGGTGAAAATTTTCCGCCTGAGACAATGGGAAAGGATGCTGAAACTGAAACGAATTTACAAACACGGAAGAGTAATAATATTAAACAAACGCTGAATAATGGGAACCGAAAACAAAAGCTCAAATTTAGTTAAAGTCACTTCGGACTTATTACGGCAAATGTGGGTTCAATAGATATCTCTCTGCGACTGCGCTGAAATAGGGGAAAGTTTGAGCTTGGATGTGCATTCCAAACCGAGGCGGCCTTGTCTTCATTGCTGATCCCGTCCCAAGAAATATTTAGGGTAAACTACAAGACTAGTCACTTTTGTTTTTGATCAATCTTATTTTGATAACTGGATTTAAAAAATAATAATGTTTTTGATCACTTATAATCATGATTTTAAATAGCGTTCGCGGTCACGTTTTTTATCACGTCGTGTTTATCACGGTTGCGAAGATAACGGATGTCATTGCTGCTATTGCGAGTATCGCGGTCGTGAATTTTTTTAAATGTCGCACAACTTACCCTAAAATGACTAAATTAAATACAATTAAAATAAATTTTAAAATTTAAATTACATAAATTTAGATTACTGAAATTAAGACAAAATTAAATAAAAATTAAAATTTACATTTTAAACTAGGGATTAAATTATAAATTTTAAAAGTAGAAAGAATCTCAAATTAATATATTTTTAAAAATTATATTTTAAAAAATAATAATAAATCACCCCTCCCCTCCCCCGACTTTCTGCCTCCCCTTCACCATCTTTTTGGTTATGGCTTCTTCCCCCATAATTTTCTGAAACAAAACTGTCTTCCCCTTTCTCCTTCGCCTTCTGCCTCTCCCTTCCTCCTCCCCATCATTGTCTGAAAAAAAAAATGCGCCACCAATGTTTTTGTTTTGGAATCACGATTGGATAACGGTTGTTGCGTCTCGTTATCGCGCAATCGTCCGTTTCCCTTTAAATTGCGGACGCAATCGATCGAGATTGGTGTGAATCAGTCACCACAAAAACCATGAAAATTGATTTCGGACGATGGCGCGACCGCGATATCAAGACCACTATCACATTTTCGGAACGCTATTTGATACCATGCTTACAATATCAATTCATTATATTTTAATCATTAGACTGTTAATTCCCGTTACTTTAATGATGCGAGTAAAAAATTCAATTTCTAGTTCATTCAGTTAAATTTCAAATTTTGGAGTGTAAAACACTTTATGCCGAAAAGTTGAAGAACGTAAAAGATAATGATACGGAGAACACGATCATCTATTTGAAATTGAGACTTATTATTATGGCGAATGTTGGTTCGAGAGATAGTCTCTCTGCGACTGCCACTGCTTGATGAAGTTTAGCTTATATCTGCATTAGAAATTGTGCTTTCTTTAATCAGAAAAAAGAAGTAATTGTAATTTATGTTGACTTACTACATATGAATTAGAAATCATTTCAAAAATAGCCAACAATTCCATTGTCGTCCAGTGGTTAGGATATCTGGCTTTCACCCAGGAGACCCGGGTTCAATTCCCGGCAATGGAAAGTCTTTTTTCTCCAAAATCATCAATTAATCGGTTTACGTTTACCGCTTGTAATAATTCATTTATTGCTGTCTTGGGTCAACAGAACTCCATCCATGA